TACTACTCCTGCTACTACGACTACTACCACTACTACTACTACTACTACCACTACTACTACTACTACTACTACTACTACTACTACTACTACTACTACTACGACGACTACTACTACTACCATACTACTACTACTACTACTACTACTACTACTACTACTACTACTACTACTGCTTCGAGTTCCTATTGATTTGTTTTTAGAATACCCTACTACTACTACTACTACTACTACTACTACTACTACTACTACTACTACTACTACTACTACTACTACTACTACTACTACTACTACTACTACTACTACTACTACTACTACTACTACTACTACTACTACTACTACTACTACTACTACTACTACTACTACTACTACTACTACTACTACTACTACTACTACTACTACTACTACTACTACTACTACTACTACTACTACTACTACTACTACTACTACTACTACTACTACTACTACTACTACTACTACCTACTACTACTACTACTACTACTACTACTACTACTACTTCTATTACTACTTCTTCTGCTACGACGACTGCTGCTACCAGTCACTACTACCACGACTACAATTACGACTACTACTACGACGACGACGAGGACGACTACTACTACCACGACTACTACTACTACTACTACCACCACCATCACCACTACTACTACTACTACTACTACTACTACTACTACTACTACTACTACTACTACTACTGCAACGGCTACTACTACCATGACTGCTAGTGCGAGTGGTAGTGTATCACTACTACTCGCATTGCCATGTCTACCGTCACATTAGAATGGTTTCTGTTTGCAGAGGAATGCATCATCGCATCAGCGAGTGGCTCGAAGGGGGCCCCCTTGAGCTGCTGCGTAGACTGATGCCCAGCGCATTGCCCGCGAAGCGGCCTTGGAAACAGATGCGCGAGTCATCAGCGCCCACGCGTGCGCTGCAACGCGGACAGCCGCTGGAATCCTTGATGCTTCTTTGCTGGCACCTGCTATCTCGCAATGGAACTCTCATGTGGTTCTGGGAGATCCAACTCGCGTCCGTTCGCGCTTATTTCACAATCATATAACCACTGGCTGACGGCATTGGGTGATGGAGACATGTTTGCGATTGGTCCATTGATTCTGCGGCGGCGTCGGAGCGGCAGCTGCCGATGTCCAGGGCCAGGTGCGCAATAAGACACTGCCCACCGAGATAGGTCTCGCGTCTTCCTCCCCCTCCAAGAAATCGGCCTTGGACGGGATCCAATCATCAGGTTTACCAGAGTGTGGGAAAGATGCAGCTGCGGCATGTTGTCGCCATCTGTCAAGACAGCCTTCTGGGTCATGATGCTCCGGCGGTGGTCGCCATTGTGCCTCCCACTGCTTGCGCGCGTCGGAGACTCCACAGGCAGATGAGGCCAAGACGGGCTTGAACATGGGCGTAGCCACTGACCATGCTTCCGAAGACTACTTAGCAAACTTTCCCCTCCACGAACGATGGGTCGCCTCTTGGAGCTTGGCGTTCTCCTTGGTAATCAAAGAACTCATCCACTGCGACGCGTCTGGATAGGTAGGTGTGCCCACCGCCTTAGCCTCCGCGATGCCGTCGTAGGTGGCCGTGGCGAAGTACGAAAAGTGGTTTGCCGTGAGCACGTCCGTGTCAGGCGTGTCCTGTCGTAACTGCTCAGAAAGCCTACGATGTAGTCGTAGTCGTCGTCGATGTGCGTTGCTCTGATCTTGTCTGTATCGCGCAGAGGCTGCGACGGGCCTCTGTGTCGGCGTCGATCCCTTCGGACGTTCAGGACCACGAGCCAGTTCAAGAAAACCTTTGTCCACCGCCAGGTCGAGGGCCGTCTTCGCTCTCTCGCGCCAGTGCTTCCAGCGAGTGACGATAGAGACATGTGGTCCAAGTGACGGTGGTCCGACTTCTTGGTCGAGTAGCTCGTCGAGTTGATGCAGTTCGTCATCCGTCGGCTCTTTGGGAGGCAGGCAGGACGCAGTGCGCTTCAAGCGGTAGCGAGGCACTTCAACGACGTTGATGTCGAATTGGTAACGAACCAGAGCGTGATGAGGAATATTTGAGGGCAGCTTCGCTCCCAGAAAAACTGTTGGGGCCGCCTGTGGGTCTCCCCGCAAGAGAGCGCGCGTGCGAGCCGTTCCCGCCGCCGTCGCGACGGGCTCCGCCCCGTCTAGTGCAACCTCGCCTTGCCAGCCCAGTCTAAGTAGGCTGTCGTAGTTTTGTCTCCAGTCGAGGTCACCGACGGCGTACACAGCATGGCCATGATGTCCGAGAGACTGGAAATAGTCGAATGTTGTAGCAAACCAGTGACGCACAACATTTGTTGGGTCATATGCCGAGACAAACGTAGCTTTGATAGACCGCGCTCGTGGGGCCCGACAGACTAGAAGGGGGGCCCCAGCTTGAAGCTACCCCCATCCCCCCTTCCTTGCTAAAGGGGGGGGGGGGCTTCGGAAGCCCCCCCCCACCCCCCCTTTTCGTGGTCCGGAAAGGGGGGGGGGGCTTCCAAGCTACCCCCCCCTCCCTCACTTTAATTGAGGCGGGTGAGCCACCCCCCCCCTTTGAAAGGGGGGGGGCATCGGAAGCTCCCCCCCCCCTCCCCCTTTTTTCGTGGCTGGAAAGGGGGGGGGGGCTTCCAAGCTACCCCCCCCCCCTCCCTCCTTTTAATGGAGCTGGGGTGAGCCACCCCCCCCCTTTGAAAGGGGGGGGAGCTTCCAAACCTCTGGAGGCCGAACATATCCAAAAGCTTCCGCCTTGATTTTTTTACCAGACGTCGGAGGTCTGGGTCCTGGGGCCCGTCCCGGCCGATCTCTCCTCTCCTGGGGCCGGAGGCAGAAAATCTCCAAACCCTTCCGCCTTGATTTTTTCAAGATGTTGGAGGTCTGTGTCCCGGGGCCCGCCCCGGCCGACCTCCGGGAGGGGGAGGGGAGGTCCCCCGGAGGCTTCCCCTCAGGAGGAGGAGGAGGCCTCCTAGAGGTTTGTAGGGGACCTTAGGGTTTGTAGGGCTCCAGACAGCCCAGGTGGCCCCCAAGTCGGCCTGAAAACTGCCTCAAGAGACCCCGAAGAGAGCCCGCTCGGGATACTGCATTAGTACGGCGACGATCAGAACATCAATATACACATATACATCTACATCAGCATCAACATCTACATCAACATTTACGTATACATATACATACACAGATACGTATATGTATACATATATTTATATATACATGTACATATACATAAACATATACATACACATATACATATACATATACATATACATATACATATACATATACATCTGCAGGTACATATACATATACCTATCCATACACATATACATATACACATGCATGTGCATACATATATGCATGTACATAGTTTACATATACAAATACCTATATATATATATATATACAGGTATATGTATATACACAGATACACATACCTAAACATATACATGTACGTATCCATATACCTACACATGTATATATATATATGTATATATATATAGATGTATGTATGTATATATATATATATATATATATATGGGTCCTGGCCTATTCCCCCCCCCTGCTGGAATCGATGTTTCGTTTTGGAGGGATTTCGGTCCACCGCAAACGCTTCACGCACGAATTGGGGGGAGGGGGGAGTCGTTTCGTTTGTTCGGAGGTCCTTGGACACTCATCTCCTTGGCCAGGGCCCAATATGTATATACATGCGTACTCGTGCTCTCCATTCCCCTCCACACGTTCCCTCACCTCGCTCTCTCAGCCGTCCCGTGGGCGCCCGCTCCGCCAGGGCAGTGATGATGGTGGGAGTTCGTGTGGTGGTGGGTGGTGGGTGGGGGGGGTAGGGGGGGGGGCAAAAAAAAGCAAAAAACAAAAGATTACAAAAAACATGTTTTTTTTTTTCGCCCCCCCCCGCCACGAGTCGGCCATCACAAGCGGCGCTGGCCGCAAGGGAGCAGCAGCAGGCCTCCACGGTTCCAGGCCGCAGGGGAGTGCCCCCGAGCACTCCAGGGGGGAGCACTCCAGGGGGGAGCACTCCAGGGGGCTCGCGTGGCTCAACTGACAGAAACGCACACACGCGCGCGCACTCACTCACGCGCGATCGCACGCTCGAGCGCACTCACTCACGCGCGATCGCACTCACACGCGCGCGCACTCACTAACCTAAACGTTGGAAGAGGGCGCGCGCGCGCTGAAATGGGGCGCATCTTGATTCGTTCGAAGGGCCCCAGGAGATGTTACAACAATCGATATCAAAATCGGGGGCGCGGGGGCACAGCAGTGCCATCCGATTCGCAGCTCGTCCCGAAATGGTGCAAACATTTTTCTTTCAACGGTAGTAGTAGTGGTTGTGGTGGTAGTAGTAGTGATTATAACAGTTATGGAAGTAGCCGTAGAAGTAGTGGAAGTAGTGGAAGTAGTAGAAGTAGTATTAGTAGTAGTAGTTGTTGTAGAAGTAGTAGAAGTAGTAGTAGTAGTAGTAGTATTAGTAGTAGTAGTAGTAGTAGTTGTTGTTGTTGTAGTAGTAATAGTAATAGAAATAGTACGAGTAGTAAAACTAATACGACCTAGTCGAAATAGTAAATGTAGTAGTAATAGTCGAAGGAAGTGTAGTCGCAGTGGTAATAATGATACTAGTACTAGTCGTAGAAATACAAAAAATATGTGTATTCGTACTAGTAGCAGCATTAGTATCAATGGTAGCAGTAATGCTACTTGTGAGAGTAGCAGTAGTAGTAGTAGTAGTAGTAGTAGTAGTAGTAGTAGTAGTAGTAGTAGTAAAGGTACTACTAGTAGTAGTAGAAGGAGTAGTTGTAGTAGTGGGAGCAGTGGTCGTAATACTAATAGAAGTAGTAGTGGTAGTAATGGTAGTAGTAGTCGTCGTCGTAGTAGTAGCAGTCGCAGAAGTGGTGCTAGTAGTAGTAGTTGTAGTAATAATAGCAGTACGAATGTTTTTTTTTATATTAATAATACTGCGAATAAGAGTAGTAGTAGCAGTAATCGTCCTAATAGAAGTCGTAGTGGTAGTACTAATAGTCGTATCCGTAGTCGCCGTCGCAGCGGTTTCAGTCGTAGTGGTCGTAGTCGTGGTAGTAATCGTAGTAGTAGTGGTGAAAAATCAAAGTAGTAGTAGTAGTAGTAGTAGTCGTAGTAGTAGTAGAAGTAGTAGTAGTAGTAGTAGTAGTAGTAGTTGTAGTAGTAGAGGTAGTAATAGTAGTATAGTAGTAGCAGCTGTAGTGGTGGTAGTAATGGAAGTAGCGGTGGTGGCAATAATTTTAGTAGCCACAGTCGTAGTCGGAGTCGCATTGGCAGTCGTAGCCGTTGTAATCGTAGTAGTCGTAGTAATAGTAGGAATAGCCGGAATAACACTAGCCGTCGTGACAGCAGTAGTAGTAGTAGTAGTAGTAGTAATAATAGAAGTAAGAGAAATAGTAGTGATAATGCACATGATTGTCGTCGCAGTAGTCGTAGTATAGTCGATATACGAATCACCAGCTACGCCCCGTCCTTCCCTCATCCTCCTCCCCCTTCGGAGTAATAGCAATACTACTGATAGTAATAGTAGTAGTAGTGGTGGTAGTAGTAGTACTAGTAATATCAAATAGTAATGTTGGTAGTAGTAGTAGTATAAAACTAGTGGCATCAGTATGCGTAATCGTAGCCGTAGTAGTGGTAGACGTCACCGTAATAATACCATTAGTAGTTGTTCTTGTTCGTTGGTTTCGGACATGTGTTAGCACTCATACGATCAATCGTAATACTAGTCGTACTAATAGGGATACGAGTAGCCGCGATAGTAGTAGTTCTAGTAGTAGTATGAGAAGTAGTAGTCGTAGTAGTAGTAGTAGTAGAAGTAGTAGTAGTGGTTGTTGTAGTAGTAGTAGTAGTACTAGCAATAGCCGTAGTAGTACTCAGAATCTAAGTGATTATACGGGTGGTAGTACAGATAAATGCAATAATCGTCGTCGTCGTAGCAGCAGAAATAATAATAACAAAGGGCGCACGCAACAGTTAACGTTGCAGCAGTAATCGCACTAGGATAGCATCGAAAGTAGCAGTAGCTGTAGTAGTAGTAGTAGTAGCCGTAGTATTAGTAGCAGTCGTAGTAGCAGCAGTTGTAGTAGTAGTAGTAGTAGTAGTAGTAGTAGTGGTAATAATAATAGTAATAAGAGAAAGGTAGTCGTGGTCGTGGTAATAGTAGCAGTGCTAGAAGGTGTTAGTAGTAGTAGTAGTAGTAGTAGTAGTAGTAGCAGTAGTAGTAGTAGTAGTAGTAGTAGTAGTAGTAGTAGTGGTACTACTACTCGTAGTAGTCGTAGTAGTAGTAGTGGTAGTAGTCGTAGTAGTCGTAGTAGTAGTAGCAGCAGTGGTAGTAGAAGTAGCCGTAGTAGCGGCAGTGCTAACAGCAGCCGTGGTAGCAGTAGTAGTAGTAGTAGGAGTAGCAGAAGGCGTAGTGGTAGTTGTAGTAGTAAAAATAATAGTCGCAGTAATAGTCGCAGCGGGGCTGGCAGTAGCGAAAGCAGTACCAAGCACAGTCTTAGCAACGGTAGTAGCAGCAGTAGTCGCAGTAGTCGTCGTCGCAGCCGTAGCTGTAATCGTAGTGATCGCACTGGTAGTAAGGGTAGTAGTAGTAGTAGTAGTAGTAGTAGTAGTAG